ATTACTTTGCCAACAAAGGTCCGTCTAGTCAAGGCTATGGTTTTTCCAGTGGTCATGTATGGATGTGAGAGTTGGACTGTGAAGAAAGCTGAGTGCTGAAGAATTGATGCTTTTGAACTGTGGTGTTGGAGAAGGCTCTTGAGAGTCCCCTGGACTGCAAAGAGATCCAACTAGTCAATCCTAAAGGAAATCAATCCTGAGTATTCATTGGAAGGACTGATGCTGAAGCTGAAACTCCAAATCTTTGGCCACCTGATGCAAAGATCTGACTCATTAGAAAAGACCTTGATGCTGGGAAAGATTGAAGGCAGGAGAAGGGGATGCCAGAAGATGAAATAGTTGGATGGCATCACTGACTCATTGGACATGAGTTCGAGCAGGCTCTGGGAGATGGTGAGGACAGGGAGGACAGGTGTGCTGCAGTCCATGGGGTCTCAAAGAGTCAGACATGACTGAATAACAGAACAACAAGAGCAACAAAATAAATTATAAAGTTCCCTGGAAACCACCACCTCCTTCTTACTGGACATTATAGGTTCATGTCAACTGCATTGTTTTTTTTTTTAACTCTTTTTATCTCATCTACATGATGAGAATGCAAATTAATTAAAGGACAGACATTCACTCTTTTAATTCTTTATACACATTACACTGGAAATCCCTGATGGCTCAGCAATAAAGAATCTGTTTTCTGATCCCTGGATCCAGAAGATCCTCTGGAGTAGGAAATGGTAACCTGCTCCAGTATTCTTGCCTGAAGAACCCCATGGACAGACGAGCCTGGCAGCCTACAATCCAAAGGGTTACAAAGAGTCGGAACCGAGCAACTAAAAACGCACTCCTCGCATTAGTACATAGGTTTTGTAAAGTGTACAGTACATGGTCAGATTATAGGCATGCAGTGGCTACTTGAATGCAATTAAGAATTTTATCACCAGAATATTCCCATTGTAATAAAGAGCCTGACCTCATCTGTGATGTTTAGCAGCTGACTTCTTTTTAAGCTGCTTTCTCATTAGGCCCTACATATGGACAGGCTGATCAAAAAAGCCCATCATGGATCTCCTTCTTTGAAACCCCTGGAAAATGTAAGCCTATAAAATCTCCAGCCCAAGTAAATGGGAACTATTCTCAGCTTCCCCCTTAACTACTATAACTGTCCCGCCCATTCACAGCGCTCTGCTACAGCCAGCCTGGGCCTGCATGGGCCACTCTGCTCTCTTCAGGAGGTCCTGTGCAAGTAGTAAATCATCTTGTTTTGTAAAGTGTCATCAGCCTGGACATCACAAAACACTCAGGTGAGGCAAAGTAATATGATTGGAAAAACATGACTATCTTTTCAAGGCCAATTCAAAATGTGAGAAAAAAAAATAAGGAAACAGAACTTTTGTTATCATACATATCATTCAAACTTAGCCTTTAGATATAGAATATAGATATATTCCTTTAAAAAATGCTACTGGCTTGCAAGTTTACAGGAAAAAATACACAAATATTCTCCCAAACAAAACTTCATAATTATCATATAAAATCATTTGTTTTGATCATAAATTTTCTAACAGAAACATTTTACATATTGAATTGCTCCATAAGAAATACCTACATATTACAGTGTCTCTTTTTCCCTCCTACGGATACTTTCACTAAATAAGTGTCTCCTAAGCAACCTCCCAAACTATTATTCTGCCTCTGTGTGACAGCTTCCGAAGAATGGATATATTCAGGTTCCTGCATCCAAGCCAAGCCATGAATTAATAAATTGGCAGGATCGGAACCATGTTCAACAACCTCCCTTGGATTCATACCTGCCAACTCTCCATAGAAATAGAGCTGGGGGATTTTGGCAACACCTTGAGTTTAGATTTGACTTATTCATTTTTCACTTAAAAAATCCTCCTCTGCCAATGTATTCAATTTAATTCTCAAGCACTTCTGTTGATAAGAGCCTAAATTCTCATTAAAGTGATTCTTCTGCAAAGAGGATACAGCACCAAGAGGAAAATGCAAGCTTTTCTCTACGAGAAACATTTTTCCCTCCACTTCCTGGTTTTTGTACATCTAGTCCCTTTTAATGTTAATTTTTAGATTTTTCTCTGGCATCTCTAAACACTTCATATTTCATTTGACTAGCTATTTCTCTTACTATTTCAGGAAAAAAGGCAAATGCTTGCAGTAAGAAAAAGGATGCATAAAATAAAGAATATAAACTTCCAAATGACTGTCTCCTTTGTGTAAAGGGTACAGGGGAAATTTGTTTGTTTTATTAATCATTTCATTTTAAGTCCAAGAAGCTGTGTGAGACAAATGGAAAATGCCAGCAAGGATGACATGACAAAGAGGCTAATAAACTGCTGGATGCTTATAACTGTGAGAGGAGCTAAGCAACATAAACTGCCTTCTGGGAATGGAGCGGGTAGCTGAGCTAAAGCAGGTCACAGGCAGGCTAAATACCACACTGACAGTGAAGAAGAATACCATCAAGTACCCCAAATAGCTCACAAATGCACCAAAATATTGACTGTTTATGACTTATATTTGTATTGTAAGGCAAATTAAAGATCACATCTAGTGTCTTACCATGTATCATCTAACTGAAAAACACCTAGATCTAGTGTTTTTTTTTTTTTTCAGGGGATGATGGGTTAGAGAAAAAAAGTGACTTTCTGTACTTTGTGACAGATACTGAATAATTTGAGCATCTCTGACACTAATGATGCAATGAAGGTGAATTAAAATATTTCAATGATTAATTTTTTATCTGCATAAAATTTCCTTATGAATAAATAAGGGCTCCCTACTTCATAGACATGTGATTTTCTGACCTTGAAATTTTTTAATATTTATTTCAATTTTATTTATTTGTGGCTGTGCTGGGTCTTCATTGCTATATGTGTGTGTGTGTGCGTGTGTGTGTGTGTTTTTCTGAGAGCAGGGGTTACTCTCTAGTTGTGGGGTGCTCAGTAGTTGCGGCTCGATTGCAGCACACAGGCTTAATTGCCCCATGGCATGTGGGATCTTCCCGAACTACAGAGCAAACCTGTGTCCCCTACATTGCAAGGCAGATTTTTAACCACTGAGCCACGGGGGAAGCCCTTGATTTATTTTTTAATATTTAATTTATCCATTACACTATTTTGTGCTCTGAATAAGCAGCAATATTAGTGAAGAAAAAAATCCTAAAATATATCTCATCAATGACGTATTGTTCCTCTTTGCAAAAAAAGTTAGGAAGACCAAAATGCTAGTCAGACATGTGGTTGCCAAGGGGGAAGAGATGTGGGAGAGGGATGGATTGGGAACTTGGGATTAGCAGATGTAAACTATTATATATAGGATGGATAGACAACTGCATGGCATAGGAGACTATAAGCAGCATCCTGTGATAAACCATAATGGAAAAGAATATTAAAGAAAGAAATGTCTATATGTGGATAACTGTGTCATTTTGCTCTCTAGCAGAGATTGGCACAACGGTGTAAAATCAACTGTACTTCAATAAAAAAACAAAATTAACAACAACAACAAACTAATGGATGAATTTTGAAAAAACAAAAGCTAGTTAGAAGTTACCTTCTTGATGGTCTCCAGCATGGAGCGCCCTCCCTGCCAGGGCTTGGAGTTCTTTCTGATACATGACAGACTAGCCATGCTGTGCCACTTCCGGTCCTCCAGCTTCTTATGAAAAGCGTTAGCGAGCAGAAGCACCGTGTCATATATGTAAAGGTTTGAAATCTGAAAGGACATTAAACAGTAATCATTAGAATCATTGATGCCAACCATCAAGAATAAGGAGAAAAGCTTCTGTTCATGTCATAGATAGCTGGTTTACCGGGTTATTTATTAAGCAGAAGTTTTCTTCTTTTCATTTCCTGGGCAATTTTGCTATTGAGATTGAAGTCTTGTCCGATTGTATGCCTCAACTGCTTTTTCAGCTTATTTAGGTGTGAGAGAGATGATAAAAAAGAGGAGTTTTGACAGAGGCAAGGTTGTTAGTGTCAGACCTTAGAAAATCACTGGTCCTTATTTCTTTCTGAGGAAGTAAGGATCTAAGGGCTTAAGATTGGAAGGGAAAATGAATAATACATTTTCTGAAGATGTTAAATTTTTTCATTCTGGTTTTTCAGATGGAGAAATATCAACTTGATTTTACATGGAAGATGAGTGTCATAGGTGCTGGACGCTACCATCTGCCTATATGTTTGTGTCTATGGAGATTCATTAATGAAAAAGTGAAAGGAAACAGCACCATTAATAAACATTACAATGATCTAGGGTCTATACAAAATTATATACAGGTGCATTGCAATTAACATGACAAATACCATAAACTGCTGTTTGTGAATGTGTATTTACATTAACGATTTCTTCTTCTAAGGTAATCATATTAACTTTCCTCTACACAGATTTTAAAATAAATTATATGAATATTTGATACACTGTATTGCACTCTTATAGTTTGCCAGAATCACTATCCTCCCTGTTAATTACCAATGTTGTCTATTTTTAAAATAATTTAGAAATAACATTTAAAAAATATAGACACCATGAGATATCCAAGGTCAACAACAGTGTTTAAATGCTATATTATTTCCTCTCTGAAGAAAATAAACAATACAAAATAAAAAAATAAGAACTCAATATAGCTATAAAAAATAAACCCATTTTAAGCATGTAAATCTTCTCAGATTTTTTAGAGTCTTGTTATCACATTTTTTCTTGAAAATAAAGGGGACAGTACTTTGATTACCCTTTGCTTATAATTATCATGAAGAAATCTTATGAAACTCTCTGCCCACATCACAGCATGCCACTAAACTTCAACTATTAACATGATGAGAATTTGAACAACTGTTAATAAGCACTTCCTAACAGTGCCTTTGAATTTTCTAACTAGGTAAATCTTTAACCACTTGTGTTTGTAGACTTTCCTTTAAAGAGACTTTGAATACTCTTATGCACCACACGAAATATCAGTTTGTTCTTTATAAGGAAATATTTGGATAGGCCATTCTCATCTTCTCCCCCACCCCACCAGATAATTCCTAGATAGACTAGAGAGATGGCTATAACTGGCAATGAATGAAGAATAATGCTTGCAGTTAAAAATAGCTGATGACATGAACTTCATCTGAATTAGATTGAAGACCCAAAAGGTAAACCGAGAAGAGACGTGAAGGATGAATGAGTTGTATCCAAAAGTCTGGGGCAAATCTTTGGATATTTCTCAATAATCTACAATAATTTGACCTTTTCTAACCTCTCATGGCTCCACTGCCTCAAACTCTCTTGCTCTAAGCAACCTAGCTTTATTTTGTTTCACCCTCTGACTGATTGCTTCAAGAGTGTAGATGAGATAGTTGTGGGAACATCCTCTGATGTGTCTATCTGTCTCTAACTAGTTAACTTCCTCTCATACTCAATTCATGGGTCACAGGCTGGGTGAATCCTACCCTGACAACTTCTCAGGACTTTCCCCACTCCCAGGCTAAGTGGGCAGTTCTTGTTTTATCTCCCGGAACACTCAGTGCATATCTCTATTGAAGCATATCAGAATGCTAAGATTTCTTTTAAATTGCTTTTCACACAGAATACAAGTTCCTTCTGGATAGGGCCTCATATTGCAATATTTTTGCCTTTTGCACTTTTTGTTTCCCTTATTTTTTATTTCCTCTTGACTTAGCCCAGAGTCTAGCACATATTTGGTTTTTGATAAATAGTTGTCAAAGAAAGAAAGTCAAAGAAAAGAAAGTCTAGTTTAACATCAGTTAGGTTTAACAGAAGTCAAGATGTGAGCGATCTGACAACTGGTGACACTTCTTATGGCATAGTCTCCTTTGCATATCTAGAGGCATGCACTTTAGCATCCATGCTGGACTAAAAGGTCAGTGATTTGTAGTCAATATGTGGCAAGTGTTTTTGACAAATGACTGCCTCTCTTTGTTTGCTCACATCCCAAACTGCAGAATCAAAAGGGGGTGATGACCTTCCCTGAGCTTTCTATTATCCCTTCTTTTACTTCTTTCTTAGCAAATTTCTATTCTCTTTTGAGGTTTGTGCTGTTTACCATGCCACACATTACAGCCCCTCTCTGCCATTACCTACTGACCTCTTGGTCACTTTTTATTCAGATGACTTTTGCTTCTACTCTGGCCATGACCAGCACAACTGACTATTTATTAGACACAAATGAACAATTCCTCTAACATCTTAAACATCAGCATCCTGCCATTTGACCAATCGTTTCTATCTACCCTAGCGACATCTGTTTTCTTACTTCACTGAAACATAGCAGAAGTAATATTTGCTCCAAACCATCATAATGTTATCTCAATCTCTGTGTCAGAAGCATTTTGTTAAGATCAAGAGAGATAACATTTTATTCAAACCTCTCCTAGTCAATTCACATCTGCAAATAAAGTTAGTTCTGAGTACTAAACTTTCAACAGAAACACTGAAAAATAAGAGAAAGACAGGAAGAATGCTGAGATAATGAGCTGCCTAGAAATTATACCAGGTAATCAGCTACTAAAGGAAAGAGAATGTTTCAGAGCAAGTCAAAGAAGGTGTCAGATATTGGAAAGTTGGCATGTATAGGAGGTTGGTGTTGATGGTTCAATGAAGTCAGAAAACAAATGTTGCTCAGTCATCTCCAACTGTTTGCAGCCCCAAGAACTATACAGTCCATAGAATTCTCCAAGACAGAATACTGGACTGGGTAACCTTTCCTTTCTCCAGGGGATTTTCCCAACCCAGGGATCAAAGCCAGGTATCCTGCATTGCAGGCGGATTCTTTACCAGCTGAGCCACAAGGGAAGCCCTAGGTCCAAAGACAGACCCTTTGGATAACCATAGAGAATTCCTTGCACTTCAAGAATAGAATATTTATCAGTGTGGTTTTACTATTCCACTAGTTCCATACTTCCCAAACTGAGGGTAAGAGAAGCTCTGGCGATAAGCTGTAAATATTAAATATTAAAGGTAAATATTAAGCTGTAAATATTAAAGGTACTCAAAGCTACATAATACATCTGGGCCATGTTCTAGGCTTATCAATTTTGCCTGAAGATTTGGAGACAAAACAAAGTAGTTTAGCTGATTACTATCTGAAATGTTGCTGTTGTTCATTCACTCAATTGTGTCTGACTCTGTGACACAAGGGACTGCAGCACGTCAAGCTTCCCTGTCCTTCACCATCTCCTGGAGCTTGCTCAAACTCATGTCCATTGAGTCGGTGATGCCATCCATCTCATTCTCTGTCATCCCCTTCTTCTCCTTCCTTCAATCTTTCCCATTCACCTTTATCAAGAAGCTCCTTAGTTCCTTTCTGCCATAAAGTTGGTGTCATCTGCATATCTGAGGTTATTGATATTTCTCCCAGAAATCTTGATTCAAATTATATTACTTTTAATTTTAAAGAAACCCATATATTAACTTTTAAAGACAATAATAAGACTATGTTTTGAACTTTTTAAAGACTCTGAAGCCAAAATGTTTACTACCTTTTGTTCTTAGTAGTCTTTGGTGAAAATGTTTGAATGACATCAATTTATATACACTTTCTAATGTTTTCCTAAAAGGAAAATTTTTCAAACATTACATTAAAATCAGCAAACAATAAAAAGATTTATGACATTATCTAAACCTAAAAAAAATATTAAGTAGGCTTCAGTGATGCCTGTTCTTAAGGAAATCCTATTATCTTGTTTAAGGTCCCTCAACTCAGGTATTTAATAGTATATTCTTCTGGGAGATGGCGAAGGACTGGGAAGCCTGACATGATGCACTGCATGGAGTCACAAAGAATCGGACAGGACTGAGCAACTGAACAACAGAAATGTATCTGAATATTAATTTTAGTGTGTTAACCGCTTGTTGTCAGAATCTTTCTACCTCCCTTTGGAAAACTGGGACAATATACCAATGCCTTGTACTTGGGTCCTCTTCCTAAGTATTTCTCTAATATTTCTAAATTACAACATTGTGATCATATCTACAGCTTTATTAACTGCTTTGAGAAATTATTTTTCAGGCCTCATTTGAGAACAGTAAGGCATACTCTGACCACCTCCAACACGTGCTCCTTCTGATCTAAAATCTAATGATTTACTTTTCTTTAAATGACTTTTATCCTAATCTTTCCAATCTTAAGGTGGAGAAACAGAAGCAAAAGGATTTGAATGTCTCTGTTTTCTCTCCATTAGCAGCCAAACTAACATTAGTTTTGTGTGTGCTCAGTCGTGTCTGACCCTTCGTGACCCCACGGACTGTAGCCCACCAGGCTCCTCTGTCCATGGGCTTTCCCAGGCAAGTATTCTGGAATAAGTCGCCACTTCCTACTTCAAGGGGTTTTCCTGACCCATAGATCGAACTCACATCTCTTGCATCTCTGCATTGATAGAGGGATGCTTTACATCATGCTGCCTGGGAAGACAGCATTAGTTTCATCAAGCAGTAAATGGCTTCCTTCCTTCTTGCTTCATATATTGCTAAAAACTCTGTTTCTAGCTGAAAGGTATCTCTGACATTTATTTTGCAGCTTCAGTTAACTCTGAATTTTAGTTTTTCTGGCACTAATTTAAAGACTGAGGAAACTTGGCTTTTGTTCTTTCTAAATATTACTTAGGCTTCCCCAGTAGAGGGACAGTTTTTGCTGAAGCTGAAGCTCCAATACTTTGGCCACCTGATGCATAGAGCTGACTCATTGCCAAAGACCCTGATGCTGGGAAAGACTGAAGGCAGGAGGAGGGGACGACAGAGGATGAGATGGTTGGATGGCATCACTGACTCGATGGACATGAGTTTGAGCAAATACTGGGAAATGGTGAAGGACAGGGAAGCCTGGCATGCTGCAGTTCATGGGATCACAAAGAGTCAGATGACTGAGTGACTAAACAACAAAATATTATTTCCCTTTCCGTGTACAGTAAAACATGTAACAGGCCAGAGATCTCTAGATGCTCACCCTCTTCTGTAGATGTACCCTCTTCTCTGTTGTACAGATTACTGTGACTGCTGGGTTTCTATTTTTAGGGGTCACAAGAATCATATTTTCATATCTTTTTTCCTAAGTTTTTCTTTAAGTTGGATCCTGCTGATAAGATATATGTCTACCTGTGATCCTTTTTATCTTCACTGTAGACTCCAAGTTGAGAGAGGGTTGTTTCTCCCAGGGAACTCCTTACTGTCAATTTTTAAAGTATTTTTCTTGTTATTTTCTTTAACTTCAGTGAGATAAAACATACACCAAAGCCAGACTTTTTATCAAATGCTCCGCTTTTAGTGGAACATTTTAAATTCAAGAGCCCAGCATTTAGGCACTATATAAATCTTCACATATAAAAGTTTCTGTCAGTTTTCCTTTTACATATTAAACATTTAGTCAAATTCTATTACATATAAAAGGGATGTTAATACACAATAAATTCACAAAGAAAAGTAATCTTCCAGCTTTCTTCGATCTGTAGCTTTGAGGGGTGTATGATGAAGGTATGGGGCAGGAGGAGTGTTACTTTCACTACATCCTTAATTCATTAGATATGTCTGGGAATACAAAGATAAACAGAATATTTGTTCCCTGATTTCAAGGAACTCAACTGAATCAGGATTGTGCTGTTAGGCAAATATGCTTTGAAATACTGTGCAGTACCTTTCTGCTTTCCCAATCTGTATATTTCCTACTACCTCTTTCAACAGAAACAGCTTTTAATATCTCATGATTTTCTAAATCAAAGTTCTTTCATATTTCTATTTAAAATTCTATCATTTCCACATCAATTATATTCAGAACCAATTAATATCAAAAGATACGTCATTAGAAGTAGAAAACTTAAACCCTGTTGAGGCTTGAGTGGCTCACTTTGACTTCTGTTTTCTTATCAATTACTTTCAAAACCAAATTTTTACAAAGGTTAAAAGCACCATGGTAGGTATGATGGGAAAAAGAAAGAAAGGCAAATACTTAATGTGATTATGATGCCTGGAGGGAACTTATTCTAAAAGAGCTTAAAAATCTACTAGCAAAGTTCTGTGGGCAATGATTCCAGAGCCAGTTGTTGGGTAAATACACACTGATCATTACAATGGTGGAGAGGAAATGGCAAACCACTCCAGTATTCTTGCCTAGAGAATCCCGTGGACAGAGGAGCCTGGTGGGCTGTTGTCTGTGGGGTCACACAGAGTCGGACAAGACTGAAGCGACAGCAGCAGCAGCATTACAGTGGTAATAAGTATGAAGAAATGGTTAGATAAATGGCAATTTATCTAAAATATTCAAAGCCGACTAAAAATAGGGAAGCTGTTATCTTTCAAACAAGGAAGTAGTTTTGCCAAGTCACCTTATTTATCTAGTATTATTAGGAAAGAACTAGTTCTCCTAGAATTATTTTTCCAGCCTTTTCAATCTGAACATCTAAATACACACTGATCATTACAATGGTGGAGAAGGAAATGGCAAACCACTCCAGTATTCTTGCCTAGAGAATCCCGTGGACAGAGGAGCCTGGTGGGCTGTTGTCTATGGGGTCACACACAGTCGGACACGACTGAAGCGACAGCAGCAGCAGCATTACAGTGGTAATAAGTATGAAGAAATGGTTAGATAGATGGCAATTTATCTAAAATATTCAAAGCCGACTAAAAATAGGGAAGCTGTTATCTTTCAAACAAGGAAGTAGTTTTGCCAAGTCACCTTATTTATCTAGTATTATTAGGAAAGAACTAGTTCTCCTAGAATTATTTTTCCAGCCTTTTCAATCTGAACATCTCTAAGTACTAAAATACTATTTCTATTAAACATTTTGAAGGAATAGGTTTCTAAAATAGATCCTATGTTTTTTCCTAGTTATGAAATTGACCATGACTTTAATCTTTCTTGGTATCTTAGGGTTACTGTTTAAATATTGACTAATAAACTAGCTATATACTATAGTGATACACTTGGAGCTGTATTATAACGTAGAGTTGTTTTACAGAGAAGGTCCTGCTCTGATAGGATATTTGAATTAGCATATCTCTTTGATTTCTCTTTTTATGTTTCTTGTCTCCTTACAGGGCTTCCTATGCCCTATTCTTGTTGATGTGCCTGCCTTTGTCAAACCTCCTTCAAATTGACATTTTGAGATGACCAATGCAAAGAGAAATAACACAAAAAGTTCTGATAGGAGTTTCCTTAAGAAAAAGAAATAAGATCCGGATGAGTATTAAAAGGGCATTCTTATGTGTAAGCTACAGGGACTTGATGTTCTTTTTTTTTTTTTTTTCATTTTGCTGCTCAGAGATTGTATTCATTTACTTTCAAATTCTTTGTTGTATTCTGAATAGCAAAGGTTTCAGCTATCTCCCATGTGAGTTGGATATAACTTTATATAACACTACTGCATTTTCGGATTTCTAAATATTTTTCTTGTGAAGTCCTTCCAACCAGAAATTAATCTTTAAAAAGGAATAAGCTTCTATATCCTTGTTATGCCAGAAAAGGCAAACAAGTTTATTAGCTTAATAATTTGGAGTTTAGCATTAAGGAGTATCAATCACAAATTCTACCATGAGAAATTCTATTGATCTACTTGCTGAAAAGAGAATAACTTTTACTGATTATATTTTTATCAAATAGATATTTTGCTGTGATGAGATTTAGAACAATCAAAGACAGATTCTTAGCACTCTTCGCAGTAGACTTATGAAATTGCTGGACCAAAAATGGAAACATGTAGAATTTTGAATGCAATGCCACCAGAAAATGTCTCTCTACAAGTGACCAAAAAAAATCCTTAAAGAAATATCTGGGTGCTTAGAATATACCTCCATATTCTGAGCAAATGGATCCTTTGGATCACACAATGTTGAAGATATTCGATGGTTGCCGCGGAAACATCGCTGACTTATATTCTGGGGGACTGGAAATGTCTGTCGAATGATGGTTAACCTTCCAATCGACCTTCTTACTAGTTCCTGTACATCCACATCATTTATTTCCTATAAGATAAGAAATGGGAGAATTAGAAATATTATAGCACATAACAGAAACACAAACTATTAATGAGTTGTTATCAGGAAACGCTAAAGAGATTCTGTCACTATAATACGTTTGTTTAATGCTTAGCCCACATCCAAGTGAAAACAACACCACATGTTCATTAAAATAATCAACTCATTTGTAGTTGCTGTCTGTGCTTTAAATTATATGCATTTATGTGTATAATTAATGAATGCTTAAATAATTTCAAATGAAGTGATGGACTTAAATACTTTTTATTTATAATAAGTTTATAATATGTTGAATACTTCAGAAAACTGTGTGTTATCTAAACATTGGAAAAGGTCACAAAGTAAGCTGCTATTACACTTAATTATTCATTAATGGATTTCAAGATACTTTGACGACCTAGGAAGACAGCTGTAATGTAAGAGTAATAAATATTGCTATTAGCAATGAAAAGGGGGTTCTTAAATAAGACAGTAGAGAGAGAAAGAGGAGGCATCATTTTTAAGACTTTTCCCAATTATTTCTTAGAACTATTGGTGTTAACTCATGGACTTGTTTTGATAAGGAATAGATAAAATGCTCATTAACTGTTGAACTGATATATTAGTATATAATTGTGTTCTTAACATAAAGATAAAAAATTCTATTGATTAATACAAAATACACTCTAGTGATGTTTATCCAAATTACTACTAGTTTGCATATAAGCCTTTGAGAACTCAAAGAAAAGCATTTTCTTCTTCCTTTTCCCAGTCACCATTCAACTCTAGACTCAAACATTAAGATTTGACTCAACTATGGATGTGAAAAGAAAAAAATAAAATAATATTTTTAACATACATCTGTTCTAATTGAACATTATCCTAATTGGAATTAGAATAGATGTGATCAAAATAAATTTTAGTTTTAATGCAGCCTTTACTTAGGTAGTTTGTAATTCATGGTATCCATCTGAAATCTTTTAAACTGATGAAGTCTTTGTAATTAACACAGTACTGCTTTCAACAGATTCTCACAGCAACAGAAATAAAAGATTTGACATAGGATACATAGTGGACTGCAGTGAGTATTTCTCAGGTTTGTTTCAAAGAATTATTACAGAATAATGAAAGAGAAAAAGATGATCTACAAGTGTAAATTTTCTTTGTCATAGGACATTAGCTTTAAAATCCATCCTTTATTTATAATCTTTATGAAATAAAGATTTTTCTGAAAATAAAGTAACATTTGCCATCAGCCATATCCAGTATAATATCCTGGGTTTTCAGTCAATTAATGTATCATAAAGATGATTTTTCTCAGTTTAAAATGCTGTATTTTTCCTTCAGTGTATATCATTTCACTGGCTACCAAAATTTCTGTCTGGCAAAAGCAGGTCAGTTTTTAATTCTCTGCCATCTACTCACGAAGTAAAATTAAACAATGTCTACAGTGTCTATCAATTTCATTTTTGGTCTGAACTTTAAACAGGAAATGTTTAAAATCAATTTTTATTGTTATTCAATGTTATTACATGCTTAAATTTTTTTCATATTATGCAGATAGGCATCTTGATTTTTAAAAAGCAGTGAAAAATTCTACCACTCTCTCATAATATTGACTAAGTGGTGTTATATGTGTGGTCTTTTTTCTTTAGCAATATAAGATTTATCAATATTTTGTCAAGTACCACTATTTCTACATGCTCCACCATTGCTGAGCTACAAATCAGCATATTAGAACAAAAACTTACATTTATTAAGATCCTACTATATTTTGGGAAAAATACTAAGTACTTAACACATTATTTCATTTCCTGCTAAAAACTACATTCTGATTCAGATGTTGTTCATTCTCATTTACAAATAAAGAAGTAGGGAGATAACAAGTTCTTCATCAACATACCCTTTACTCATAAGATTTTATCAATGTCATCAAAAGACATTCTCTGAAGTAATCATGTAAGGAATCCATTTTTCCTTACAGGAATTATTTAGATTAATATTCATGAGTGATAGGAATTAAAACAATAAAGATACATTATTCTAGAATTTAATAGCCTAATGATTCTATAAGGAATGGTACAGTCATCTATCAGGAGTCAAAGTCTTTGAGGACTATTTTTAAATCCACAAAAAAGGATGGTTACTTTTTACAAGTTCTAAAAGCTGAAGTCCTCAGATGTCTAAATGACTAAACTATATCTGAGAAAATGTCAATTTGAATTGAATATATTTTGCCTATTATTATTTGAGGAAGGGGAAAAAAAAGTAATTTTCTGGTAGGAAAGAATCTGCCATTCTGAATGAAGTTAACAGACAGTCTGTCTCAAAAAATTCACTTGCAGTTTTAGTTTTGACACCTGATCTCAAAAATAGTTTGATAGTGATATGAAAACTTGATTAGGTAGCTATTTTATATTTACAGAACGTCTGCATTCCAGAAGATGCATTTCAAAGAGTGGCAAATACAATGCCATGTAAACAGTGGAAGCCATGTGAATATTTAATCTAGTAAGAAATATTTTTAAAAGAAAAAGAAATTCGTAGGTAAACTGCTTTATTAAAATATGAAACTGTTGCATAATCTATTGGAATCTACACTGTTCAAATGTGCAGACATTAAAAAATGTTAAAATATCTGATGAAAAAAAATAATCATATGAAGAACCAGTTTACCACACACTCAACTGAGTCCCCTGTACTACCTAAATATGCTACTAAGTTATACAGACATTTCCTGAGTTTGAAGGAATTTAAAGAAAGTAAACGGCAACACACTCCAGTGTTCTTGCCTGGAGAATCCCAGGGACGGCAGAGCCTGGTGGGCTGCCGTCTATGGGGTCGCAAAGAGTCAGACACGACTGAAGTGACCTAGCAGCAGCAGCAGCAAAGAAAGTAAATTAAAAACTGTCCTTTTTGTATTATTTATTTTAGTGAGCACATTTATGAAATAAGAATATTGCAATGAAAAACAAACAAATATGCTTTAGTGTGCTTAATTTTTCTCAAGTGTTCTTCTTTAAGAGCAGAGCATTCAGCCTTTTATTCTCATAAAAATTATTTACATAGATGATCAAATATTATCAAGAGTCAAATCAATATTTTTGAGAAAAGATTCTTATTCACTTTACTGTGATAGTTTAACATAGGGTGAGCTCTGAATGGGGGAAAGCTAAAATATCTGGTAGGTCTCAAACTCCACCAGAAACAGCCAATTTCCAGAACAAATCTTTTAGGAGAATTGGATCACTCCTGAATCCTTGTAGGATATCAGCTTTAAGCTTAAGTTAATAGAATTTGAGGGAAGGAAAGACTCTCAAAATCTATTAGATCAGATGCCAATCTATATTATATAAACTATTTCAGAATAGGGTCCCTTCCTGCTTTCCTATCCTTTTATCTCTTAATATCTAATGAAGTTCTTGGCTTATAGTAGGTATTCATTAAATGCATGTCAAATAAAAAACTGAATGAATGGCAAGATTTCAGCAAACCATCTTCAAAAGATAGATCCCTGAAACTTTAAGTAGAGACACCGGGGTGCTTTAATAACTTTATCTATTATAAATAAAGCAGATTTTAGTAATTATATGAAGCAGTGTGCTAGGTAGTATAATTTGAAAAGATTATGCTTATTGTTGTATTGCTGGTATGTTTATGGTCTCCATACTTTAACAAAAAAGATCCTTTGATGCTTCCATAAAGTTTAACAGTAATGTGAAATTATTATACAAATATCATGAAACATGGAACAAAACCAACCACAGACTATGAATGGAAAGAGGAACAGAATGCCAACTTTCTGCTTGACAGATTAGTAGAGAGCAGTTCAATTAATCACCAAATTAGAAAAATGAAAAATATTCATTACACACTTTCAAATCTCAACAATAACAACAACAACTTCTTAACTGCAGAACTAAGCAGTGATTAGCAGAGAATAATGGCTTAAACTAAAAAACCAGTATTTAAATAAAAGAAGTCAGGACACCAAGGGTCAGGCTTAGTATCATCAGGGAATAGAAGACTACATATAGCATTACGCTTTTTGCTGCTCTAAACAGTGTGTATATATAAATATATATATACATTAAGTGGTATTGAAACACTAAGTGGTATTGACCTGCTCTGCCTAAAATTACATCTCTGCTCAAGGACTAGTAAGGAGGGCTGTGGGTATAAAAGAGCTAAGGGTTTCAGTAACAGTAAAAGTGGTTACATTTATAACAATTTATAGTAGGAAACTAACATGTGAATAAGAAAAGAACAGGTTTTCTATACTGTGTTCTACACTTCTAATATGTATTTATGTATGTATATCTTCCTATCTGAATTTCTAACTTGTAAAACTTAAATAAAGTGCTAGGCCATCTGCTTCGGAACCCTGAAGGGATGACAATACTTATAAGGAAAGGCTGTTCTCTGCTGGATCACCTGATTGCAGGGAAAAGATAAATATCATTTCCAACTACTAGCATATGATTGATTACACCATATGAACTAGCATAGCCTCTCATTATTATAGCACAGTTGATGCAAATGAAACAAATATACTGTTTTCAAGCTTCAGAATCAATTTGTATCATGATACACAATGCCAACTTTGATTTATAGTTTCTCAAAGAGAAACTGTTGGTACAATAAGATTAAGTAAATGTTTGCAACCCATTTTAAAATTAGCAACAAAATAGTAGCTACACAAACCAAACTAATCAGATTCACAATTTGCATGCTCAAACAAAATGGGCATTTGCAAGTTGTTGGACTTTGTTGTTGTTTTGCTCCTTTTAGAGTTTATTATTTTCCTAGAAAACTTGAGGAATTCATGTTTCTTATTTTATGGAAATTAAGATAAATTTTGATTCATTCATTATAAACAGACCTATAAAAGAAAGAAAGGTAGTGAGACTCAAGTTTTCTGAGGCATATTTCATAGAGAATGAGGGAGTTGGATGGAATCATGTAGAATTAAGAGGGCTGAGCACAGATACATATGTGGATGATATTTCTTAGGGATGAAAGTACAGAAAATATGCTTGATCTCTGATTTTTTTTAACCTAGTTTAGGGAAAAAATATAATAACCAATGTAAACAGTGTGGGCTATGACCATGAGATTTTTCAAAGACCTGCTCTGCCTAAAATTACATCTCTGCTCAAGGACTAGTAAGGAGGACTGTGAACAAAAAAGAGATAAGGGTTTCAGTAATGGTAAAAGTGAAGCTATAGTTACAACAATTTACAGTGGGAAACTAACATGTGGATGAGAAAATAACCGAGGTTTTCTATACTGTGTTCTATACTTCTAATATTTTTTGAGTTATTAGTGAGTTAGATTGTTTTTTGTGTGAATTTTTTTTTTTGTAAAGTAGGGACTCAAATTATGAAACAACTGTTGAAAGACATCACTTGCTCTAATATTTTATAAAATAAAACTTAATGGGAAGTTTAACAGAATGAGTTACAATCTTTATGAAAGATATAGTAATATAAGTTATTGCTCTTTCCATGATAGTCATCATAAATGAAATACATACTACTCAAACTTCCTCTTTATAATATGAAAAAGCAATTTCTTCCATAGCACAAATTGACAAGCAAGCAGTAGACAGATGGTCATTGGTGTCATGGGAAGCTCTCTCTACTTGGGTTCACATTTTCAAGATGCAAGGATAACATTAGAAGTTAAGTTGAATATGGTAAAAAAGTTAATTCAGGGGTCCTTTCTGCAATCTTACCAAAGAATAGAAAGGAATGGGCATTTCCATTTATCAATTATAAGTGTTAATTTGTTTGATTAATCCATGTCTCTAAAGAGGCAAGAAATCACTTTTCCCCCCAGTCATCGATATTGACACAAACAAGTAAAACAGCTCCAGTTTGTTTCATATCAAAAAAGCTGTGTGGCCTATTCCCCATCATAAGGTGGGTGTGAAACAAAAACAAGAAATTAGGAGGATTCTCTATTTCAAAAAATAGTAATCCAGAAAATATTAAGCTAAAGACAAAAAGTAAAAGAAAACTTACTGGTTCCTATAAGATTGAAATTTAGGAGCATAAATTTCAAAAATATAATCTATAAGGAAAATTATAAAAAAAAAAAAAAAGCAACAACAACCAAAACTTCAGACTGGTAAAAACTAGGTTTTAAATCCCATTATTAATAGTTGTGTAATATTTGACAAATCATTCGATTTATTTGAATCTTAGATTCTTTGGGAACAAAAGAGATGAAAGTACCTAGAAAAGGTATTTCTAGGTATGTGGTTGGTTTGTTGTCTCCCTTTTCCCTTAATCCATCCTGATGTTTAGTCATTCTAGATTGACTTAAAAACTACATTGAAAAGTAGATCTGACATACACATATTATCTGTGGGGATCTCTGAAGAACACATCTTAATCTGACATAAGAAATACACTGACACATCATATAGACTCAAAGTCTGGCAGGCCAAAAACAGGTTTGTAAAACGTTTCCAGTGCCTTTAAACTGAACAAAAAAGAACCGTCAAGAGAGCTAAAATTCATCAATGGAGGGTGTTGTAGAAGAAACAATTTGAAACTAATAATTATTTTTATTTCTCTGTACAAGGAAAGGCAAGACCCTATTTCCTTAATACTTCATAACACTATTTATTATTCAACAAAATAATATGTGAGTAAGTGATCTGTGAACTTTTAATGTCCTCTGATCATTATTGCAGTACCATTTACTGAGTGTCATTTGTCAGGCACCATGTTAAGAACATTCAATAATATTTCACTTAATTTTCATTAAAAGCTGGTAAAGTAAATGTTGTTATACATATGGTACAAACTAACAAATAATCCCTGAGGCACAGGATATTTTATTATATATCCATAGAAACACAGCTATGAACCAATTTCAAAGTCAGGATTGAGCCTATCTTGCTGAACTCAAGACTAGAATTCTTGCCAAAAATGCTACTTTGCTCCTAAGATAAAATTTATTATTCTATAATTCAACATTAGTATCACTTGATAAATAACACATTATTTTTTCCATAAGTAATAGATACACTGAACACTAGATCTTTATCTCATTATTTGGCCCTGAATGATCTACTCATTTTCCTTTCTAACTCTGACTGGCAGGTGCTAATGGAACAACTTATTTCACAGGGCTCTCGTGTTATAATACTGTATTTTTAATGTTATGCATTGTTTTTGCAAAAAAAAAAATCTTTCACAAGAAATTTGACAAGTTGGTGGATTTTAAAACAGTTGTGTTTCTTTATGAAAAGCAAAACAATCTGCTCTTATTTATTCATATTCATGTAAGGAACTATTTAATCCACTTGTAAGGGGGTGGGATATAAAAGTTCTAGAAACAACAGTAAAATATAAATGGAACACAGGCCCTCCACTGGGAGGAATTCACTTTGCTTACAAAGAAGAACTGTACTTTTTATAAAAATGATCTCTGATGTAGGCAGTGTGTGCCAACGGAAAAGGCTAAAAGATACTCAGTGGGGAAGACGGTCTCTATTTTATTCAAACAAAGCCCTTTATAATTTGCAAAAACTCCTTATTCTATTTTATTTAACAGCATCCTTTCAGTGAGCTGAAAGTTTACTCTGTGTTCTGTTTTCTGTTAGAAATTCAAGGCTGTCGCTGTGACTATACATATGAAAATAGGACTCAGAGTTGACAGTAAGGTTCAGTTAGATTTACCTCATTTATAATGATCCAGTGACAGTCGAAAGCAACCAAATTAGTCTCCACAACCTGGAATAGAAAAGAAACCAGCTATCAGTCAGCATTAATTGTGAAAAACAAACCAAACTAAAGAGATATACTTGACAAATGACAAAAATATATCACATGTTGGAAAGGTCTCTTTTAGTCAATTGAAAACAGAAAACCATTACAGTAAAACATGGTAGAAGTTTTGTGTTCATCTTGTAAGTGCAGTGTAGACTCTCTAATTTGAAAATAAAGTTTCATAGCCTAGAAAAACAAAACCTTCAAGTGAAAAAAGACAAATAATACTGTTTTTGTGATTTAACTGAGTAGAATTTGCATTGAATTTCCTAGTCCAAATAAAGCTTTGATGACCTTGTATCATCTACCTAATAAATATCTAAGTACATATCCCTCCATAATCTGGCTTGTCTGTTAGTTCCTTGTGCATATTTTTTGTCATTGTCTTGACAAAGTAAAATGTCCATGTTCTAAAAACTTTTGGTTATGTGTATTGAGGAGATCCAACTGTAAAATTACCCGAATGAAAAGACTAAAAGTGAGGGACATTATATTAGCACAAATTATAGTTGGTTAATTTCAGTAGTTTTGCTAACAATATGAGCAGAAAGAAAACTTATGTAAAAGGAAAAGTAAACTATGTATAGGTAGCAATCTTGATTGAATAGCTTTGAATAAATTGATTCTAAATTAACCTTGGCTTAGGCCAAAATTGCATTGCAAAACCCTACTGCAATGCATTCCCATTCTATCCAACTTTATCATGAACATCCTAAGATATGTTCTTATGATTCATGCCATGGAACATATAGATAAATGTTAGGTTAGATTGTTTTATAAGACATTGCTGTGTCATTTTCAGCAGGAACACCAAAAGATCAGGTTTTAAATGAAGATGCTTTCTAATAAATAGCAAGGAATTGTTATAAAGTATGAATTACTTTTGGAGAGGAAAATGGCAATCCACTCCAGTATTCTTGCCTGGAGAATCCCATGGACAGAGAAGCCTGGCAGGCTACAGTCCATGGGGTTGCAGGGAGTTGGACACAACTGAGCGACTAACGCATACGCAACGCATAAATTTCTTCTGGGGATTAGTCTTTGTCCTACTGAGAAATGCCTACTGAAATATCCATTGAATCATGAAAAACACAATTGGAAATACATTTATGTGAGTCAATACTTTCTCAAGTATATAGTTATTTGCAGAATATTTTTAAAATTTTGGTATAAATTTTATACTATTTCCATATATATCATCACATAGATTCCTATGACCTTACTAAGGTGCCTTGATAATATCTTATCATAGAAGTGAGGACATGTGATCTATTTTTAAGCTATACCATTATTATTGCTTTCAAAATACATACATGTTCAACTTTAGGAGAAACAATGCAGAAAGTATGATCAATGGCAGTTTTCAATTTTAGCTTAAAAAGTCATGTTATACCAGTAATGGCATTCATTATTTCTATTTAATAATTACTTTACTTTAATCATCTTAGATAAACTATCACCAGTAATTTATTAGCAATAAAAAGTGTTATACAAAAACAAGTGTTATAAAAAGATATACATCTATTTATATTAAGTGTATTTTATATATTATGTTGGTTTCTATATATGACCTACTATTATATCTATACTAGTGTGTAATATGTATATATATTAATATATTCACATATCTCCAGAGAAATAAACTTTACAGTAGAGTTAAAAGAAAAGGTAAAAAGGAGTGATAATAATGTTGTTTATGTTTTTCCCAATCAAATGGAGCTAAGGTGAACACTCTTAGGAAAGACATATTTACATAAAAAGAAATTCTCAGTTGTTTTTGTAGATAACAAATATCAAACAACTATTATAAATACTAAGTCAATGTATCTATCGATAATTTAAGTTTCTATTAATATTAATCACTTTCCATTTGATATATTTTAGCCTAAGTAATGTATCAAACTAACTGCATTACCAGCTTGAAGGACTGAATTAGTAATACATCTGGACAAGGGATTAAGAAGATTTGTAAGACATTCTAGAATATTTTAAGTCTTCCTATTTATTTACACTTATACTAGGGGCTTTCCCAGTGGCTTAGTGGTTAAAGAGTCTGTCTGTAATGCAGGAGACTTTCAGGAGACACCGGTTTGATCCCTGGGTCAGGAAGGTCCCCTGGAGTAGGAAATGGTAACTGACTGCATTATATTTTTGCCTGGAAAATCCCATGGACAGAGGAACCTGGCTGGTCTCAGGATCATGAGGTTGCAAAAGAGTCGGACACAACTGAGCAACTAAACAACATACTAGAACACAGAAGAGAGAAATTGTTTCTTTTTCTTATCTTCCTTACTTAAGTAGCACATTTCCTATTTTAGCAATAAACATATTTGAAGCCAATGAAATGGATTAAGCAATTTGATTGAAATATTTATTCCCTTTTACTTTTCTAGTGGGATCTTATTTTATATCTAAATCCATCACTGTTGTTTGGTTTCATTCTGTGGACTTATATAAATGTCTAGCAAGTTATGTCAACCTAACTATACTATTTAATCCCAAATTTAAACTTTTGTTGATTGTTAAGAAATAATAAAGGTCCTAAAAATAATGTATACTGTATTACCATATAATAATAAGAACTGCCCAAAAGATCACGTGATGCTTGGGCTATCAAAAGACACTGGCAGTAAGAAAAGATTAACCAATGGTTTAACTAGTAGGTTTGGTTACAATATAACAGGAATAAAGGACGTAGGGGTTTTTCTTGGTCATCTGTTTCTCTCCCCTCTTGTCCCATGCTTCTCACTTATCACTACACATATACACATTAATAACATAGAGGGAGCCAGGTTCATACTGATATAGAATTGCTTCCACATCAACGTAGTTATAACAAATGAGACTATCCTACTTCCCAAGCAGCTTAGCTTACTTTAAGAAAATTGAACAAAAAAGGGGGAAAAAAATCAAGTCCTGTCAGAAAGACAAGCGATGAGTAAGGACAGACCACTTGTCACTGGCAGGAACTTTAGAACTTCTGAATCTTTGGAAAAGCCAAAGACAATTTATCACCATGTCTTCCATCATCCGTTCTCAAATCTTTAGATGTGCTAAATATAAGACAATCCGAAGCAAAGAAATTGCCGGAGCGTATATCTCACTGGTAATAAATGTGGAACAGTTCCTATGAGCACAGAGGACAATTTAATTGACTCAACAATAACAGCAGCATGCTGTTTTTCACTCAGCCTTGTAGCTTAACTTAATTCAGCTCACTCCCTGTGCAGGATATACTATGTAATCCACATTTGTGCGAAGGGTTCCTGTGCTCTGGGCATCTGCAGCAGCAGAGATATCAGGAGTCTGCTTGCTACTACTGCCCATTCCAAATTGTCAGGTGGAATCCTTGAGTGATAGTCTGCCTCGGAAAGGCACTCGCAGTTATTTGGAGCAAGTGGCCAGAGAAACACTGAAAAGTTACTTCCATCCTGGCTCCTCACCTACTGCAAAACTATAGCTTATATCTGCATTTCTCAAACTGTATTCTGTGGGACATAATTTTCACTAAAATTTGTAAGCCTTCTGTAACCAAACCTGATTTAGAAATGCTGAATTAAGCCAAGTTAAAGAGATGCATTACTGCATTAATCCTCCAAGCTTTTAACAGGTTAATATCAATACTGAAATATAACTAACATAAAAGTCATATGAATGTTTCATACATTTCATACATTATTATTTTGAGCATATGGCTTCAGATTTAAGAGCATGAGCTCTGAAGTCAGAGAGTTTTCTCCATCATCTTACAGTGTGACTTTGAACACATGACCAGTTCTTTGGCCTCAGTTTCCTTACTTGTTATTAGGGTTAATGACAGTACCCACAACTAAACTACCACCAGGAGAGTCACGACAAAGGTTAAATGCAATAATAGCACATATTAAACTCTCAGTGAATACCATCACCTCATATTTTAATAAAAGTGCTTTACAGATCTCCAAGGTACTTGGAATTTAGCATATTCCAAAAGATTTTGATCATGGAAACCATTTTTCCCCACTACAAATCTCATGGGATTAGTACTTTTGGGGAGATGTGTAGACTGGAACCTATGCTAATTTAGTCACACATATCTAAGAGTTCTAAAGTTGTACTGAAGCACCATGAGAAAATTCATAATTCCGAAAGCGTGGCCTTATAATAATCCTAGAGAGAGTTTTCCAACTAATAAAGGAAATTTTTTTCACCAAACAAAAACTTATACAAAAAGTTGAATCAACATATTTTAGGTAAAACTCAAATGCATACGTAATAGTTCTAACAAAATAGTAATAGTTATTCTCCTTTTCATTTTATATTAAATCTTAAACTTTTTTATCCATTTTTAGTTAAAATAAGATAAAACCAAATCAAATCACCATTTCTTTGCCAATAAAATATATAAAGGTATATATGAAGTATTAAATTTATAGTACATAATAGATTATTAGCAAGGAATTCATGGATTTACAGAACAAACTCAATATCCAATTGCTGAGTGTCATATATGGGTCAATTGTACTATTAATACAATAGAGTTCTGCTATAAAACACAATACAATTACATACTATAATTTCCTGAACCTCCAGAGTCATAATACAAAACTCCAGACTTCAGGTACACTAAATATGCACATGACTTTGCTTTGTTTTTGCTTTTAGCTTATTTGGTCTTCTTCTCACTAGAAGAAGTGAGTTCAGTTCAGTTCAGTCCCTCAGTCATGTCAAATTCTTTGCGACCTCGTGGACTTCACCACACCAGGTCTCCCTGTCCATTACCAACTCCCGGACTTTACTCAAACTCATGTCCATTGAGTCAGCAATGCCATCCAACCACCTCATCTTCAGTCAGCCCCTTCTCCTGCCTTCAATCTTTCCCAGCATCAGGGTCTTTTCAAATGAGTTCCAAGCAGCTTAGCTTACTTTAAGAAAATTGAACAAAAAAGGGGGAAAAAAATCAAGTCCTGTCAGAAAGACAAGCGATGAGTAAGGACAGACCACTT